TGCAATGCACCATCCCCCCCCCCTCCTCCCCCCCCCCCCCCCCCCCCCCCCAAAACCCCAACCCCATCCTTGGTCCAAAGATCATCGTTCTGGCTCCGACTCGTTCACCAGGCCCTTCTTCCGCTCACGGCATTGCTTCTTGTGGGCCGGCCAGTCCCTCTGCTGGCACTGGGAGCCGCAGTAACGAGCCACCTGGCATCGTCCACAGATGTTGAACTCTCGGAGCTGTGGCATGACAGGGAGAGCGACAGTTAAAGAAAAAAATAATAAACATGACATCCCCACATGCGGCTTTCACCCTCCCATACAGAACAGAAAATAGGATAGCTTAAGCTGGGGGGGGGGGGACTGGCAGCACCGTTATATGTAATTTTCAGTTTTCGGATTTCTTATTCTATTCAGCGTAATAAGTAACAGTTGGGTACATTTATTGTAAATTGTATGGAGTATGACTTCCGATAATTCCCTCTAAGTCCTTTAAGAATGCAGAGAGGAATTCCTGAAATCCCCAAACTGAAATATCACAGAGAGCTTGTTCACAGAGAATGAGCTCGTCTCCGAAGCCTGGATACAGTGATGGGGAAATTCAGCGTTCCAGAGCTTTCTGTGACACCGTTAAAGTGGGAAAGTCTCTGGAAAGACACAACCTATAATGAAGATGGAGACCAGGTGTGACAGGGAGCGTGCCGGGGGCTCACCCTCCTCTCGATCAGGGAGCAGGGAGGGTAGTGACACTCGTAGTAGGTACAGGAGCACTCCTCCTCCTCCACCAGCTCCCCGTTGGCGTTGAAGTAGCGTGTGCGGCTCATCTCCAGGTACTGCTCCTCCACCGGGTCGGCCGGCACCTGCTGGATAGCCAGCCAGTACAAGGACTGCTCTCTGTGGGCAAAGGAAACGAGTGAGTTTCAGGTGGACCATCCTACTCCCAACGCCTGCTCCCTCACGGCCGACCAAGATCTGTTTATCAGAGATAAGCTATACAACTGTGCCAAAGGGGGGGGGTTCAGCACCTCTGTTTGCTGGACAGCTCCTCAGGTTTAGGGCTCCCGCCCACCGGCACCAGGCACAGGTTGTCCAAACGGTTGTCCACAGTAACAGAATTGATGTGGACCACCTGGAAGTTTGGTGCGATGCCACCCACATGCTTCTCCCTGGAAGAAGGGGGGGTGGGGGTTAGGCACACCAGGCATCGGAAATCCCAGCAATCCACTGACACGCAATTAACACATCTCATACGATAGGAACTCTAACTATACCTTGAGGCAGTTACAAGGTAGTGCAATGCAAACTGCCCCCTTGAGTCAAATGTAGGTACTGCAACCACCACACAGCAAAATGCAAAAAAAGCAAAGCTAAGCTGTTTAGCATTGCTGATGCATGTCCAGGAGCCACTGTAACCGTCGTGAGCGTTAAATCTCACACCGGCACACTTACCAGAGGAGCTCATGGAGCGGCCTCCCTGCCCAGCGCCCTTTGCTGATGTCAAAGGCATAAGCAAAGATCTTAGCCCCATTCCCATCTGCATCCACCTCCATGCGAGCCTGCCAGGGGGCGGGAAGGGGGGGGGGGCATCAGTTAGGGTCTACAGGGCTAGAGCAAACCCACAGTCAATCATCACTCTCTCTCCAGAAATCAAAAGTTACCAAGCAGCCCTTTCTCAAGGATGAACAAGAAGAGCAGACCACTGTGGTCTGGCTTCCTATGAAAACTTAATATTGTTTCTGAAGAATTCGCTAATGTGTGGAGCACATTCAGCCTTAAATATCCTGGCGTGCAGGCAGTCTTGACAGTGTCAGAGTGTCAGACATCCTTAAATACTGTAAAGCTAGCATAATTACTGCCTAATTTACCAATCATCATAATTACCCATTTTTAAACCATGGTGTTTTGATTTAAATGCTCAATTGGAAAATTGAGTATGACGTGCTCAGTCAATAATTACAAGGTTTGTTTTTGAATTACTTGGGATACATTAACATACTACTTTTCTATCCAAGTTTGCAGTAGTAAGACTTCACGTTTTTCCTGTTTAAATAAACAAAGGACTGATCTCAGGCTTGTCGAGTCTGCCTTCATATATGATTAGGTAAGGTTTGACTGAGGCTTGAAACCAACATTCTGTTTGTGTGGAATTTTACACAACTTTAGGTGCCCTTAATTACACAAAGGCACTTCTAAATGCTACAAAATAATTTCTACCCACTGTCTCTTCGGGATTTCATCCCCCTATAGCAGGCAGCATAGGGCACAAAACATAAATACACTGTGCAAGGTATTTATTTATTCAACAATAATAAATCACTCTTTTTTTTAATAACTATTATATTAACTTTCTTTTAACAGATTCACAGTGCTAACATTTACAGTACTGTGCAAAAGTCTTAGGCAGTCAAAGAAAATGATGTTTAAATGATCTTTATGTTGGTGTAAAACTCTGCTTAGCTTATCCATTTCGAAACTTCTGCTAAAATCACCCCAGTATTGCAGCAACTATGTCTTTTACCTCATTAAAATTAAGTGAGCTGGTGGTGAATTTTAACAAATACATGGAATAGCTGAGGTGCCCCTGTGGAGAGGTTTGGGATCCAAAGCGATGTTCATCTAGCAATCCAACAAGTTATCACAATGTTTCCCCTACCATTATATTACGGGGGCACCCCACCCCCCGCAACCTCCCACCCCCCCTTGAAGGTCAAACTAATTTTATTTAATTTGTATCTATATAGCGCCAGATCAAGTCAAAGTCAAAGTGAAATTTGTCATCTCAGCTATATACATGTATACAGTGAGATCACAACAGAAGTCATTTAATGTTACCTTTCCTATAGAACAGGTCTATACATTGTCCTTTTATTAAACAAACTAAATAGCCTTATGTTATTTATCTTATTTACACAACAGCTTGTCATTTTTGTCTCTACACGGCCGCACGTTTACAATTCTCCTCTGCTCTCTGTATCGCGTATGGCGGAGTTCCGCCCTGATGCGAGTGCACATACACGTGCGTGCACACACAGCTGAGTACACTCCTACCAGCGGACAGAGAGTGCGCGTGTCTGCTCCCCCCCCAAAGCTGTAAACCTAGGGGAAACACTGTATCATTAACGTTTTGGAGAAGAGAACCGAGTTATGAGTTTTTAATTGTGTTACTGTTAATTTGTGTATGTTCTAATGCTAAATTGTGTTTCTTTTTCTTAGCAAAAGTGCACTTACTACCCAGATAAATAGTTTTAAACATTTCTTTTGACTGCCTAAGACTTCTGCACAGTATTGTATGCAACTTGTTGTTTTACTGGGTCGATACTGGGAAGTTATACCAGGAGGTAACTGCAATTCCATTCTACCTAAGTGGCTCCTGTAAGGTGTCAGCCTCTTGTGCCTAATCCCCATGCCACCTTTTGACCATAACAACTTTAAGTCCCTTAAGCAAAATTTTGCCTTAATTCTAAGCAGGATTTTGTCTTTCAGGGGTGAAGTGCCTGACTGCCTGAGAACAGAAGGGGCGAAACAACTTGAAGACATTTTGCCAGCATAAGTTAAATGACCAGCCATAGATGGACATCGTGCGTAACTGCACACCGTTCCAGACACGCTTTTCAATCTGTGCTATTTTTCAAACTCATCCCTACTTTCCCCATTTCTCTTCACCAAGATGAAAATGGCAAAACACCCTAACAGGCAAAACTACTAATAAACTGTTTAAACATCATCTCTCTATACGTGATCCTCCATTTCCCAAGAATCTTTGGTCCTATTAAGTGGAAGAGTAGCATACACCATGGAAAAACAGCCACTGGGTATTGTACGAAACTGATCAACACGTTAGTAAACAAAAAATCAATTCCAGTTCTTGCACACAAGCGGCACTTGTTGCTAATTCTCGGCACGGCAAATCTGACGGATGGCAAACAGTTGGCCCTGGAATTAAAACGACACATTTCCTAAGGGATGTTTACAGGTCATGACTAAGAAAAAAACAAAACTGAAAGCTCCCCAGAGGTCCTCCCAACCTTCCAAACAGATAAGTAACAATGCACTTCAAGGACTCCAAATCAGTACCCAATGACAACAAGGACTCCAAATCAGTGCCCAATGACAGATCGCAGACTGCTGTATAAAAAAAAAGCCATACTGGCTCTTAGAACAGAAAGCCTTATTCCCACAGAACTGACTGGTAATATTTTAATTCCTGCTTCAGGTTACAGGCAACCAAAAATGCTCAGAGATATTCAGTGCCTAGAAACCATCACATCAACACCCCTTAGATGGAGCCCATTTAATACCCACCAAATCTTGTACTGAATTGTTATTGAACATCAGAAAGTAAATTCCACTGGACAGTGCCATCCACAAAGCATTGCACATCTTCACGTGCATTACACGTACACACCATGGCCATTTTCACTGCCATTCACGCTGAGCTGCGAGTCATTAGACTCACTTCATATCATCTTACCTCAAAGGCATAATTCTCCACCAGCGGTATGTCTTGCTCATCTATCAGGGTATATTTGGTCTGTAAAACAAAGACAGTCAGAGACGTGACTCCTCCCATGTGCAATTTGACAAAATCAGATCAGCTTCACATATCTTCGATGCTAAATACCCAATTTCATGAAGATTCAGGAAACTTGGACATTCAGGATGAATTTCTGGAGAAGCAACCTGTGTCATCTCTCGTATTAATACGTACAACTAAACTGCATACTTTAACGAAAACCTCAGGCCATTTCAGTACAAGTACATGGTCTGCTATATACCAAAAGAAACAAATTAACATCAAAGGCCTCAATCGAGTTAATTGAAAACAACAGACCGCAAAGTGTTTGCTGCTGTTCAGTTACTGATATACTAAAATAAGGTGACACCTTACAAGTAACGATGCCTGTGTAATACAGCATCCGCATAAATGAACCCACTGCACGGCACTGCTATTCAGTAACACCCCCTCTGACCGCCGTCCTCCGGGTACCGGGTCCCATTTTATCATCGTGCATCCCGGACTCATCGATAGCCAGGTGCTGTCCGACGTATATTCGGATAAAATGGAAGACAAAACCCAACTAGCACGTAATGGGCTACTCGGCTAAAAATGTTTTCCACCTTTTCGACAACTGCCCTCTAGTGTCTTTTTCATGTGGCCTGGCTAAAAAGCCACCCAGACTGCCCGACAATACAGCTCTCGTCCGGGAAACGGCCACAAAGACAGGACAGCGCTAACAAACCGCTGCAAAAAGAAAATAATATTAAGTGAAGCGGTGATGAGACGCGCATTCTGCCGGCGTCTGCGCCTCGCCGGCCGTGTTTATTATTAATGCCGAACCGCGCTCTCGCCTTGTCTGCGTCTCTGACAGCAACATGCCGGCATGTCACGTTACCAGCGGCGCCCGGCTTTCGAAACAACGACCAGCTGAAGCTGGCGTGGAAAACGGCGCCGCGGTCAATTCGTGCACCGTATAATCACCTAAAACGCTCGTCCGCATCTTTTCTTGTTCTACCTCCGCGTTGCACCAGCCTGCGTTAGTGTTTATGCTCCTTTAACTGCTAACTGGTTTAGCTAACGAGGCTCGCCCTGGCAGACGCGTTAAATGAGCTGCCATCGCCCGATAGTCCACGCATCACACGCGACCAAGGCTCTCTCGCTCCCGTTAACTGAGATCCGGCTCTTTTTCTCTTTATAAGCGGTAGCCGATTGCGAACCGAGCAACTGCGTGTGGATGGGGGTGGGTGGTTTTGTTCCCTGTCCGTACCACGGATCCCCACCCCTTCTCGTCGCACATGGCAGCCCCGGGATTTCAGCTCACCTTCCCGGCCACACGGCCCAGTCGAACAATTCCTAGCTTGAAATCCGACATTGGAAGAGCGGATAAAAGAGGCTAAGAAAAGAGAAAGCCGGCGACGCGATCAAAAGACTTTGAATCTCGTCAGGGCGACCCCCTATCCACCTTTCTGCTACCGGTTAAGCTTAACAGGGTTAGATGGGGCTAAGTTTTCTCCCTCCCACTACAGCCTCCGCGATACACCGCTGGCTGAAACGGGAAAACCGGTCTATCCTAGAAGAAGGGGGAGAGATTGCTGCAAAGTAAACCAATAATATCGAAGTACGGGCTCGCCGCACTCCAATCAGGAACAGCACGCTTGACTTTTTCTTCTTTAATTCCAGGGCAGTGTCGTTGCGTCTGTTGACGTAACGATGCCCGACAGTCTTCACCAATCGGTGAAGAGCTTTTCGAAGAGGGCCGCCCATACGTCTTCTGACGTCAATACGTTTTGTACACGGCGCCCGTTTCCTGCGTCGCGCGACCTGTCATTTTCCCGCGAAACCGTGTTCGGCCCGGCTTGTGCGAGGAATGGCGGTTGCTTGCGAGTGAGTGCCTGTGAAGTGAGACGTTCGATTATTTTTTGCAGGCACGTGGAAGGCCAAAGTTGAGCAATTGATAACATTTTTATTTAACTGAATGAGAAACGTTTTGTTATGAAAACAACATTTAGTAAGTACAGATCAACAAATGACGTAAAAAGAAATGCTTTAGATTTGTAGCGAGTGAGCCTATAAATAAAAAATCAACTGCAATTGTCATCCAGGCTGTTGATTTTCAAGTAGATTAGATGTGTTAAAGAGTGTTAAAGTGTTAGTCTGACCAGAGTTACCGTAAAACGTACCATTCATCATGTTTTCATTTGCTTGACCATCAGTAATGCACTTGTGAAATAACTGCAATGGCTCATAAAACTGATTATTTTTTTCTTTCTCTCTGGTAATACAGTTACGAAAGATCCCTAGCTGGAGTACAACTTGATATGTCCTTGGAACATGGCCATTTTTGGCACATTTTTAACAAAAATGACACTGAATTTAGGAACTAATTTAGTTTTTCTGTAAACACCATTGTTACGCTTGACTGAAGCCATACACTGCTTTTTATGATGCAGTTAATCCAAGCCCTTCACATCAGCTTTTGGAAGGCCACAATGTTCAAGCTTTCACTCCACCTAAGCACGCTTGAATAAAGGTGTTATTTCCAACACTGACCTACTGTAGGGGTGTCATTCATGCTCAGGTGTAAATTCAGTGTGAGAGGAAGTGTCCTTCAAGTATCGTGCAGGGAGTGATAAATGTGCTCTCTGCATCTCCATATGTCAGGGGCAAGGACAAAAATAATTTCTAAATCATTACTGATAATAATGATATTCTACATTTACGAAGCCACTTATCTAGTGTCACAGTATATTCCAGAAAGCACAGGGTTCACAGAATACTGGTCTGTTATAGGCCACACAAACCAGCAAAAACTATGGGTAACTTAGATACATAAATTCATGTTCTATTATTATACGTAGTAGTAGTAGTATTAATAACATAAATAATAGAAGATGAAGAATACCACTTTGGTATTAGAACTCCCAATTAGTGACATTAGTGAAATATTAAATTTCAATGTGTTCACAATAGGTAATTGTTTAAATGTACTAAGGTTTCAATACTAAATCCGCTTATGTGATTCCAAGCTCATCTCAGTTTATATGAAGTCTCCATGTGTGTACATTTCCTCCCCATTGTTTCTTGGACTTTTTTTTAATGTAATAAAGGCACAGTCAAAATTGCTCCAAAATCCAGTGAGTTGAAAGAAACTAATGGAGCTTTTCCATTGCCACCAAGAACCGAGCCCTACCCGTCCCATACTGCGAGCTGGTAGACATACAGGGTGAAGAGGTTCAGTCACTGAATGACTAAGCATTAGAAAAGCCAAGATAACTCTGTATTTTGAATGTTTGTTGGTGTCCTAAGGTGTGACTCCAGCATCTCAGAAACAGCCTCTTTCATGGAATTATCATATGACATGAATTTAATTAAATACCCAGAACCTGAACTAACATAAAAATAGAATTAGTTTTGACCATAGAGAGCTAATATATTATTTTTTATCTTTTGTTGAAAATATTGAATTTTTGACGGCATTCATAGTTTTCTAATCTCTCAATAGTGAGATATACTACCTTCCCTTTCGGCGCAAGGCACTTTAAATGATACAGAATTAAAAAATAAATTAGATTTTTGTATAATAGATAGTCACACACAACTTTCAGCCCATTTCATAAGGGGTGAATTTAACCCCTTAAATTTTATTAAAGCGGAGGCCTAATTGAATTTAAAATGTTACCAGTTCAAACCAAGTTGCAATCAGGAATTAAAAATAAACTGGGAGAAAGTTAAATATTAACTTGTAATATGTTGCACGCGTTCTTCCGCTTTTCGATGTAACTACAGACTTTTACACGGGTGGAGTAGCGCAGCACATGGTCAGGCATATATTGAAGACGGCAAAGGGATGGTTGATGGTTCTCTTGAAAAGGGACTGAGATAACCCGAAGGTGGGGTAGCCCTAATTGTTTAGGTTTCACTTAATTTTATTTCTTCCCACTTTTCTGCCAAACTTGTTTTACAACTCCAAGCTGTATATTGCCCCCCACTTCCGTGTTGGCGTCTGTTTCCACCTGTCACAGGTAAGCGGCTTGCCAGGAGTGACCTACCAGCCAGGATTTCGGAGCGCAGTTTCAGTATCATTTCATTTTCTATCTTTGAGCAAACACCCATCCAAGAGGAGCCATGGGGTCTGAGGCGAGGAAATGCGAGCTCGCGACAGTGTCACTGGCTGACAATGATTATGAAGCGGAGCCCGCAGGGATTCCCCCCAGTCACTGCTTTGGAAGCGAGATCGGGCAGCCATGGATTTCCGAAGGACAGCCTGCGGACGGTGTGATACTGGCGAACGGGTCGCGGAGGAACAGTAAGACAAGATCGTCGGTCTCCACGGCCGATTCTGGGGACGATGTGGTCGCCCAGATTGATCACAGCTCCGACATGGACTTCTGCGAGGACCATGAGTCGCAGCTGGACTGGTACTGCAGCTCAGAAGCTAAATTAGTCTGCTCGCAATGTGTCGCCGCCGGATCGTGCCACAGCCACATCGTCACTCCGGTTTCTCGACGAGCCTCGGTTATTAGGGTGGGTAAGCAGTTTAGAGACATGGCTCTGAATAAATATAAAAATCGTAATAATTATTTTACGGTACTTGCCATTAGTGAGTATTATGCATAATTATAAGTATAGCCCTATTAAGGAAATTCATTGAAACATTGAACTAGGCTATGTAGGCTACTGAAAGTAAGTATAGGGAACTGGGAACAATTATGGACTTATTTGCAGTTAGGACTAAATTTTAGTTTCAAGAAGTGTGAAAATGTTTTTGTTCACGTGTGTTTTTGTTTCCGTCTACGAATGCGTCACACTTTATCATGAAAATAAGCCTGTCAGGGTCGGAGAGTTCCTCCGGCTGGAATGTAGAAAAACCGGAGATTCTGGGTACTGATGTTAGAGTCATGGTACCGGGGGCCATTGATACATTTCGATAAGCAGCGAATCAGGGTTAGCATCCATATGATACATGCTAGGCAACGCATTAGTCGAAAATCACTTGACTCATTCATTTGATATTTATTACAGTCTTGCAATCATGTCGTCACAAAACGCTTTTCAAAGATATTTG